GAGAGGAAGGATGAGGAGGTGAAGCAGAACATCTTCACCGGAACTATTGGGGTGACAAGGTAACGATGACAGGACACAAGTCGAGTCCCTCAAATTGCCAGCACCGGCAGCAGAAGTTATGTCAAGGGTGGATGCACAGCTGTAATGGCTGGAGACGTGTTCACAGACGATAGCCCACACACCACTGAAGTAGGGATGCTGTGCTCCTGGGGGTCGTGTATACACAGATGGAAGTTAAGTTGTAACCTGTGTGGCATTTCCACTCAGTTTTGTTGTGAGCCCAATGCTACTTTCCGAAAACAAAATCTCTTTTTTTTAAAAGAAACAAGAATGTCTATTTTATAGACCAAGGAAAAGATAACTCAGATGATTCAGAAAGAGCAAATATGTGGAATGCTTTGGTCATTATTATCCCAAAGTCGAAGGATACCTAGTAAGATCTAGGGAAAAATATACAACCCTGAAGTCAGATTTTTCAATACAAGGCAAACTGCTTCAGTGCTCAGATCTCCACCTCTACAGCACAGTTTCCCACTCTTTGCTGGTACATTGGTGTTGCGGTGCTCTGAAGACATTTTTTTTTTTTTTAACGCATGGCAATGGAATAGACTAGAAAAACAGAATCAGCTTGAATTGCACAGAGTGAAGCAAGGTAGGACTTTCGGCCCTTTGGTTTCTGTGTGGATATGTCCCTGACCTGGTGACGAGGAGAACATATACATGTCACTTTCTTTTTTTCTGGATTTTCAGGACATATTTTTCCTGTGTAGCCCTGGCTGCCCTGTAACTTGCTCTGTAGACCTTGGGGATCTGCCTGCCTCTTCTCCCCAAGCACTGGGAGTAATGACATGTGCAACCACTGCCCCCGGCTCATCTGTCACTTCCTAAGCCCCGGTGCTGTGCTACATCACCTCCCTGCTCATCTGATAGCGGGTCATGCTGTCCAGTAAGATGGTGTGGAGGACAAAGGAAAGGAAGGTCAACATGAAGATTCTTCCAGCAACTTAAGTGTGCCCTGATAAAACAATGATTGTATCCCAGGTTATCAGTGTGTGTTGTGTGCATGTTTGAGTGTGTCATGTTTGTGCATGCAGATGTGTGTGTATGTGTGTGTGTGTGTGCCTGTATATGCATGCCTATGTGTTTGCAGAGAGCACAGAGCAGACAGACTTGTATTTAAAATTGTCCAACAGTCAGATCCTACCCTCACAGCAAGGTCTTGGCAGAAGCCTTAGCATTGCAGCATGCAGAGGCATTGAGTATTTGCTGAAGAGTCCACATAGCTCCTTATCCTCAGTTGGTTCACAAGTGTGAACTAACCGTTCACAACTGTGCACGCTTAGTTCGGTGATTGTATGAGTCTGTGTTGTACAAAGGTTATGGTGACGTTCAGTTTGTGCCCGCAGACACCTGAGAGACATTTGTGAGGACCAGGCATGCTGAGGAACAGACACAGTTGGGCAACTTGTTTTGGGAGATGAGATATAGGGAAAGGAAGGCCCATGCAATGGATTTTTCGTTTGTTTGTTTTAGGAGGCCAAGCAAGGCCAGCAGTCTGATGCTCCCAGCTGTTAAATGAGTCAACTGTTTAACCAGGAATCGTTTTAAGACTTAAAATTTTGAGGAAAAATTGAACATTTCATGTTTAGTCTGATACAATTTTAAGTGACTTTGTAAAATACCTTTTTATATGTTAGTATTTTATGAAAATGTGTTGAAAAAAAGATAAAAGCTATAATTTTTTTTTTAAAAAAAGAGAGACACAGTCACAGGGTTCCCCAAACAAATGTGACCATCAAGACTCTGAGGGTTATTATGTATTTAGCAATGTCTGTCCTTAACAGGAAAAGCACCTACCTCAGCCACAGGTAGAGAAAGGAAGCGGGTACTGGGTGTGAAGTGTACTTAGTAGACTCAATCCTGATTTATATTCTGGAGTTCAAAAGTTAACAGATATTCCCATTTTACCAAATTAACCTGGAAAGATAGATACTACTGAAAAAGATTAAGCATCCCTTAGACAATAACCCTTTAAATAGTTGATTCCTGCTGGCATTATGAAATCTGATTTTGTTTTTCTTTTAGAAGTGTATGCTGCTATTGTAAGCAGCATATGGGGCTTCTACCACGTTCCCCTATCCTTTTATTTCTTTTCAAAAGAAATGACTTAAATTTTCCTCTTAGTAAACAAAGACATACACAGCATAGCTAGAAAAGGGAAAGATGTTTATAGATTTTTCTAATTTTCTTTTTCTTTCATTCCCAGTCCTTGAAGAACTAGGGACTGCGTCAACAAAGTGGGTGGATCCTGGTTACAAAATATCAAGTTAGTTAATTTTTTGTGAAGGAGCTCCTAAACCGGACTGCAGCAAGACTCGCTGGGCTCTCGGCCAGCACCTGCAGCACCCCCAGCGACTGCCACTGTTGACTCAAGAACCAGCAAGTCTCTCACTTGTCACATTGGGCCTCTGGACCCCTACACCAAAATTCAGCCTCTTTTGTTGGAATCTATCTTTGCCAGCAAATGACCCACTCGTCTTTGAACATGAGTTCTGTTTCTCACTAAAATGAGTGTGGGTTTTGCCTGGCATTACCCGCAGAGCACCACAGCCTTTTGAGAACGTGTGTGTGTGTGTGTGCGCACGCGCGCACACGTGTGCACACACACACACACACACGCACATGCACACTGGCTCTATCTTTCTCTTCTGGGGTTGATCTTCTTCTAAGGCTATGAATAATTTCATACCAAAAAGGTAGCAAATAAGTACAGAATTTAAATTGCCAAAGGTTTTCAAATATGTATTCTGTTACAGTGTAAAACGTGGTCACAAGTGATGGCTCTGGAGGCTGAGGCAGGTGGAATGGCCCGTGTTTGGGACCAGCCTGGGGTGTATAGAATAAGATCCTGTCTCAAAACAAAACAAAAAAACAAACAAACAAAAACAGGCCAGGGAGGGAGGAATGGGGAGGGAAAAGTCACAAGATAATAAAATAAAATAAATAATAGCAATGGTATACATCCCCGTGGTTCACATGCGGACAGGAAGCTGAGATGAAATACTTCCCCTGCATCTAAGAGTGTAGATTTCCTCCATGATGGGGACTCGCTGGCCCCACCCCATCCTCCTCCGACGTCCCCCATCGCTGAGAAATGCAGGCGGTGAAGAGGAAAACAAGAGGCCGTCTCCTTGTCCGGAAAGACGGATTTCCACACACCACATGGGTTTTCTACAACTCCAGACTTCGGGTCACCCATTACGACTGGAAATTCTTATGGTTCCAGTGGCCTTAAACAATAAAATAAAATGCCAAAGTTATCAAGACTGGGGTTAGCTTCAATATTACATGTACTTGGGACAGTGCTGTTCTTTAGGCTGCCCACGAGGGTGAAATACAGGGGTCTTTTTCTTTTCTTTTCTTTTCTTTTTAATAAAATGATCTGTGAAGAGCTGACATCATTGTCCGCGGGTGGGGGTGGGTGGGAGATGAGAAGCTACTGACCTGTGCAGTACACCAACCTGAAAGGAAGTGTGTTTAGATAATTCCACTAGTCCCGGGCGGCCGATTTCTCGGGTGAGCGACTCCGGGTGGGGTGAGGGGCTGTAGATCTTAAGAACCAGCCCCCAGCGCTGGGGGTGGATGGGTCTGAGGAAGATAAGGTGAGCAGCGACGTTAAACAGAAAACAGAGAGCTTATTTTCATTGTCCTCAGAAGAGACATAGGTGGGTAAGAGACAACACAAAGAAAAGCGAGTTTCCAAGGAGCCCAGCAAAGCGACTAGGCTGGGGCCGCCGCTTCGGCGGCAGTCTTTGCAGGAAAATAAGAAATATCTTTGCTTTAAACCCAAGTACACTTCATTTTAGCTTCGGTTGATACCGTTGGGTTAAAATAGCAAATGACCCAGAAGGTGCGTGCTGGGAAGCATAGCCAGGGTTTCAGGACCGAGCTGCAGGGGAGGAGGGCGTGGGGGGATGGAAGGAGGAGGCGGGACGCTGGGGTGGGGGAGGGGCAGCATGAGGCGATGCTGAGTCCTGGGCCACCGAGGGACCCGTCCCGCCTGACACCTAGGACTCCTTTTGGAACCGCTTCGGGGCCGCGGAGCGGGATGATCTCAACAGACCGTTACTCTGGCCGAATCAGGGGCGGCGCGCGATCTAGGAGGGAAAACGGGAGGGGGGTGCGGGGGAGACGGGACAAAATCCTGCGGGTGCGCGGTGGAAGGGAGGGCACGGCCGACCCGACTCCAGAAAGCGGGGAGAAAGGGAACCAGAGGATGATCCCACGTGCACGGCGCCGCGCGGTGTCGAAGCGCCACCTTCCGCCTGGCAGAGGCGCAGAGCGATCGCGCGCGGGTTCAGGGCGCGACCCGCCCGGGACCAGCAGCGACACCCACTCGCGGCGCCCCGTGGGCGCGTCTGCACCGAGGCTCACTTCATCGTCCGCATCCTTGTGCCCACGCTGGTCTTTCCAGTCCCGTCCTGCGTCCTCCCTGGAAACACGCGCAGCTGTACGCACTCGCGGATTTCTTTTGAAAAAAATAACATATTTCTAGACACCCCCCCCCCATCTTTGCAAACTGGCCAGGGGGCGGGGATAGGGGCGGGACCTGTTGTTAATAACGGGAGATGGGCGGGGTCGGGCATAGCCATTGGTTGGCTGGAGGAGTGATGTCACCCATATGACACCCTGATAACGAGTTGAGAGAGAGCCCTCAACTTTTTGCAGAAGAAGCGCGCGCGCCTGGAAGTGCTCGGGGTCCGGCGCTTGCGGCGGCTGCCAGGAGCGGGAGAGCGAGAAAGCGAGCCGAGCGAGTGTGAGAGAGCGAGCGCGCGGGTCCCGGGCCGCCGCCGCCTCCTCTCCGGTCGCCGCAGCCGCCGCCGCAGCAGGGAACGGGACCGGGGGGGAGGGGGGCAGCCGCGGACGCGCGCGGCCGAGGACTTTGCAACTTGCCGGGGAAGGTGGAGGGGCGGGAGGGGGAGGGGCGCCCGCGCAGGAGACCAAGCGCCCAGCCCCGCCGCGGACCATGGTGCAGCAGGCCGAGAGCTCGGAAGCCGAGAGCAACCTGCCCCGGGACGCGCTGGACACCGAGGAGGGCGAGTTCATGGCGTGCAGCCCGGTGGCCCTGGACGAGAGCGACCCGGACTGGTGCAAGACGGCGTCGGGCCACATCAAGCGGCCCATGAACGCCTTCATGGTGTGGTCCAAGATCGAGCGGAGGAAGATCATGGAGCAGTCGCCCGACATGCACAACGCCGAGATCTCCAAGAGGCTGGGCAAGCGCTGGAAGATGCTGAAGGACAGCGAGAAGATCCCGTTCATCCGGGAGGCGGAGCGCCTGCGCCTCAAGCACATGGCTGACTACCCCGACTACAAGTACCGGCCGCGCAAAAAGCCCAAGACGGACCCGGCGGCCAAGCCCAGCGCGGGCCAGAGCCCCGACAAGAGCGCAGCGGGCGCCAAGGCGGCCAAGGGCCCAGGCAAGAAGTGCGCCAAGCTGAAGGCGCCGGCGGGCAAGGCGGGCGCGGGCAAGGCGGTGCAGCCCGGAGACTGCGGCGCGGGCAAGGCGGCCAAGTGCGTCTTTCTGGACGACGACGACGAAGAAGACGACGAGGACGACGAGCTGCAGCTGCGGCCCAAGCCCGACGCGGACGACGACGATGACGAGCCAGCGCACTCGCACCTGCTGCCGCCTCCGGCGCAGCAGCAGCCACCGCAGCTGCTGAGGCGCTACAGCGTGGCCAAGGTCCCCGCCAGCCCCACGCTCAGCAGCGCGGCCGAGTCCCCCGAGGGCGCCAGCCTGTACGACGAGGTGCGCGCGGGCGGCCGGCTGTACTACAGCTTCAAGAACATCACCAAGCAGCAGCCTCCGCCCGCGCCTCCCGCTCTGTCGCCCGCGTCCTCGCGCTGCGTGTCCACCTCCTCCTCCAGCGGCAGCAGCAGCGGCAGCGGCGCCGAGGACGCCGACGACCTCATGTTCGACCTGAGCTTGAATTTCTCCCAGGGCGCGCACAGCGCCTGCGAGCAGCCTCTGGGCGCGGGCGCGGCAGGGAACCTGTCCCTGTCGCTGGTGGATAAGGACCTGGATTCCTTCAGCGAGGGCAGCCTGGGCTCCCACTTCGAGTTCCCCGACTACTGCACGCCGGAGCTGAGCGAGATGATCGCGGGGGACTGGCTGGAGGCGAACTTCTCCGACCTGGTGTTCACGTATTGAAGGGGCACAGGGCTCCTCGGGAGGCAGTCGTGGCGGTCAGGATAAAGAGGATGGTGGGAGGGGGGAGGGGGAGAAGATGCTCATGGTCAGAGATGTGGCGCAGAGAAATTGGAAAAGGTGGTGAAATGTTGGTGGAGTTAAAGTGAAATGAGTAGTTTTAAAGAGATTTTTTCAGGTTTTTTTTTTAATTTTTTTTTCAAAAAATTTTTTTGGTCTCCCCACCCTTCCATTCCTTTATCGTGTCTCAAGGTAGCTGCATACCTAGTCTGGAGTTGTGATTTCCCCCACCCCTAAGAAATCGTGTTTTGTAATTTTTATTTCTTTTTCCTGAAATTCGTGATTGCAACAAAGGCGGAGGGGACCGGGCGGGGGGAGGGGAGGAGGCCCCACTCCGGAAGGCGCTGTTTGAAGCTTGTGGCTTTTTGAAGTCTGAGAGACGTCGGCAGAGGACCCTTTTGGCGGCACAACTGTTACTCTAGGGAGTTGATATTTTTTTTTCTTAAGAGATCTAAAAAAGAACTGGTGATTAAAAAACAACAACACAAAAAGGGACCATTGCAACCTTTTTATTTTAATTTTACTTTTTTGGAGGGAGAAAGCTGATGTCTTCTATGCATCCAATTTCTCAAACTGCAGGGAGCTTGAAAAAATGCAGTCTGTACAAACGCTTACAAAAAATCATAACTGTGAACTGACTTAAGAGCAGAGTTTACTTTTTCAGATCAAATTGTTTATGGTTTTACAAATGTGATTTCTACTTGGCAACCTTTTTTTGGTAACTCGTTCCCTTATACCTCCTTGATTGAATACCTTACAGCCTAGACCTCAGTACAAAAAGGTATTGAAACATTTTTGATACATAACAGACCTCAATCTTTTTTAAAAATTAATATATTTTCAGGCGTATTTTTGTACAGTGAAAAGGGAACAATCTTGCTGTGTTTTTTCAGTAAGACTTTCAGGCACTTCTTCCCTTTTGATTTCTTTTTCTTTTACTTTTATTTTTTTTCTTTTTTTGTTTGTTTTTTTTAGCATGCAAATATGTTGGTACGTTATGTCCTGGTTTAAAGGATTAAAAATTTTAAAAGTAATCCTTGCATCTAAAGGCCTTGTGGTTAAAAAAAAGCAAACTTTTTTGTACAGCTATAGTAGAGATTTGTTCAATATTTGTAGGTAAAGATTTATTGAAAATGGTGACATAGACCTCAGAGCTGTTCTTAGTTTGAGACTGTATGTACTGTACCATAGTAGGACCCATGTATCTCATCGCTGTGATGTGTGGACGGGGCCCCAGACAGAAGGTTTGAAACTGGATTCTCGATTTTTAGCAAAAAAGAAAAAGGAAAGGCACATAGTTTTAAATTTTCTCATTTTGTGCAATATAATCTAAATAAACAGACCATTGCATATTTAGTAGCAAATGGTGGCGAAGCAGACTCAACGCACTGTCGACATCACCGCCCGAGTTTTTGTGAGTGTATGTGTGTGTGCGTGTGCGCGCGCGTGCTGAAGCCTGTGTCTTGATTTTAATAAATCAGCAGGAACTGATAGAAGCTCGCATGGCCCATAGTCTAAGTCTACCCGGGGACCGCGTGGTCTCAGCGGCTGCGGGTGGCGGAGGGCGGATTCCGCTTGTGGAACCCTTAAGCTGGGGTGTAGTGGGCAGGCCCGGTGTCCTCCCACCTCACCCCGCCCTACATCTCCACCCCCGCCGCGGGCTGCGCGAGGGTCCGTGCGTGGTGGGGCCGAGGCTGGTGCCCACAGGGCTCGTCCCCCCCCCCCCACCTCCACCGCTTTTTCGGATTTTTTTGTCAGTTTTTTTTTTCCTTTTAAACCTTTTTTTTTCTCCTCCCCCAACCCCCGCCGCATCGCTGCGTGCGCGCTCATTCGGATGCCGGTGAAGAGGGCCGCGCCCTTCAGTGTCCACGCGGGTGGGGCACGAGGAAAGCAAACGCGCCCTATGCCTCTTTCACAGTGGGTGGTTCGTGGCTTTGGAGTCTTGGAACATCTGCCTCCCGGGGCCCAGGCCAGTCCTACCTCCCCCCACCCCCAGCCCTGTCCCTCGTGGGGTCCCGCGCAACCCCAACTCCCCGGGGCCGCGGCGCCCGCGACCGAGGAGCCGTTCAGCGGCGATTTGAAACTTGGTACCCAACAACCCGACTCTAGACCCACAGAAACCGTTACTCCTCGGGCGCTGGCCGCGGGGACTTGGCCAGCTGGGATCCAGGTCCGGGCCCCACGCGAGTCGCACACTGCAGGTGGAGACCTGCTAGCCACCGAGCGGCGCGATCGCACAGCGCGCGTGGGTGGTGGCGGGGGCGGCGTGCTTTTCCGAGCTCTCCTCGCTCACCCCTCCTCCATGGCGTGCTGGTGTGGGCCACGCGGAGACCTTTAAACCGCGAATAATCCCACCAGTGGTTTACCGGGGCGCGGGGGGGGGGGCAGTTTCTGAAGCTTAAGGAAAAGGCATTCTGAGTGTCTTGAGATCTTTACATTTGCATGTGTTTCCTGTTTTCCACCGGGCGTTTTCTATGGTAAGGGAATTAGAAAGGTGTGAGGATTTGGTCTCAGAATGGAAACATAGCTGTGATTTGTATTTTAAAACTATGTGGCCGGTTTTTTTTGGCAGGAAAATAAGAGACAAGTCCTTGGTTGGCGATCTTAAAAAAAAAAAAAAAAGAATTTTTTTTAAACCCTGTTAGAACTCAGGACAGGCGCTTAAATGCGCTCTTAATATTTAAAGCAGTTTAGACGAATGCATTGAGAAGATTATTCCCAATGAACTCTATTGAATGTCTAATACACAAGGTATTCCTGCCACTGGCTAGGCTTCAATAAAAGTTTAGCTGCATTTTTCCTCCTCCTAAGTAAGTCTTATTTTTAACTAAGCATTGACAGTATCTTAAAATGGTAACGTGGGCGTGGGCGTTGTATGCACAGCAGTCTAGCCAGTTGGGTACCCTGACCCTTAACTAGTTCACAGACTCGTGCATCCTTGGCGAGATTTCCATCTTCGAAGGAAAAAAAAATACCTGAACCAGCGTTCTCTTATTAATTCTTTAAGCTGTGGAAATGATTTCCAGTTTCTACATTCTCGATAATGCACCCTTTTTTATTAAAAAGAAACAATACGAAGGAAAGGCAGTGTGCTTCAAGTGTGCTTTGCAAATCCGTGTTATGAATGGCTACGGTCACTGGGTAAATTATTTGTAGAATGACTAGCCTTTAGGGAGAAAAAAATCTTTGCAGCTCTTTTGGGCCTGGATGGTTCTTTTTAATGTTAATGGAGGGGAAGTGATTTAAATATGCATGCTCGTAGCAGTCAGGATCTGACTTAGTTGTTTTGAGAGAAGAAAAATCAAAAGGCAAGGTCTACTTTTTCTCTGGGAATTGAAATCACCATCACCTTGATACTTGGATGGAGTAAGAAATGGACATTTGTTCTTCACTTCAGAATTCAAATGAGTTTTTGCCCAAGGAATCTGGGAAATGAGGCAAACAAGTTGCTCAATTTTCAAGTAGTCGTTGAATAGAACTAGATTTCCATCCCTCAGCTTTTTTCTTCTCTGATGGGGTATTATGTATAGTCTCACCGTTTTCTCCTGATGGGCATATGTATCTTTGTGGACACTTGGAAGAGAGGATTTTCTTGTACTCTCTCGTTTCTAGAATCTTTATACTCTTTTTCCTGCGAGGTTCTCTGCTTTTAACAGATTTCTGAGGCAACTATATTTGTGCTTTTTTCTTAACGTAGGAAGACCAGCGAAAATAGCTTACTGAGTTGTCAATTTTATCAGTAGATAAGAAACTTTGTTTATTACAGTTTCAGGGAAGGTTTTTCAGGATATTTCTCAGTTATTCTAAGGGCCAAATTTTATAAAAATTTCCATTAGGAATGTCAGTTTCAGATACCCTTTGTATAGCCTATGGCCTGCGAGGACAACAAGACTGAGCCTTACATGTGTCCGAACAGGAATTCATAAGTCCCCAAAGTAAACGTCTCCATGTAGCGACTCTTGACGCGTTTCCTGAGCGTTGACTTATTTTAATTATCAATTCTTTCTCACTGTCCCATTCTAGTTGATTCTGCCATATCCCTTGGTTTTTGATGATCACGACTTTTTTTTTTTTTTTTTTTTTTGGCTCTTTGGTAAACGACTCAGGTTTTGTTTATGGGTTTTAACGCCCCCTTTTGTGTGATGCTTACATCTTCAAGCGCAGTAATGTACTGAAGCCAAGCTCACTTTTCCACTTCCCCCAGCTCCTCACATACCTTCATAAATTTTTTTCCCATCGTCGTATTTTCTTTGACACTACCTAGATGCGTTAGCTGCCTGATTACGTCATCTACACCACGTGGGTGCGGTGAGTTTATAAGAGAATTTCACAAACAAGTAGTTTTTTAGTGAACTTAAAGCAGAATTTTAAAGGAGACCTATTTTTATACTCAATAAAAGCACAAAAGTGCATAGAGCTTAGCATGGCGTACAAAGGGAAATCCGCTCATAACGTTCCATGTATGAAAGTAATAATTTTCTTGGATAGCGATATTCTTTGAAGACCCAGTGCCTCTCTGCCTGTGCATAGACAGGATGATTTCCACACACTGGGAACTTCCGGTTGCCGGCACTTGACACACACACACACACTTCATCAGAGCCACCAAGAGCAATAGGCAGGAGCTGCCATGTGCTTCCTGATGGCGAGCAGCTGGCCACTGGGCAACCTGGCTGTGTACGCGCGGAGGCTCCAGTCTTTCTGTTTGATCAAACTTCTTTTATGTGGTCGTGTAGACTCCATTTTTCTCTTCTGTGAAAAATGACAAAATAAAGCAATATGGCGAGTTTGGAAATACATTTGAAAGGACAGAATTTCCTCCAGGGTCCTCAAAGAGGTTTTTTTTTTGTTGTTGTTGTTGGTTTGTTTAGTTGGGTTTTTTTTTTCCTTTTTTAATGTGACACTTATTTTAGGAGGCACATTGCATTCCCCCTTCAAAAACA